TTATCGAGGTCTCCGTGTACCAGGTACTTTGTTCAGTAATTTACCTGTATTACTTTGTACAACCCAATGAGGTGAGATGACATATTATCATCATTGTTATTATTATTGTTGCTGAGGCTCAAAGAGTATAAATGACTTGCTTAAAGTCACAGACCCAGTCTTGTGCTCTTAACTACTATGCCATCTTCTTATGAGTCATGAGGTTTAGAATTATAATCTCTTAAACCTGGAAGAAACCAAGTATCTTCAGGGTCAGAGAGCTTAGTTGATTTTGGAACATTTCTCATTCTAAAGAGAACTCTCCTCTCTTGATGATGTCAGTAGATGGGTGGGTCAGAGCAGTATTAGAAGCTGTTTATCTGGATCCTCTACAGGCATCTGATAGTTTCCTATGACATCTTGGTACGGTGTGTGTGAAAATGTCGCCTGGGTGTTTACTGGATAAGGAACCGTGTTCAAAGGGTGTTCTGTCCCCTAATAGTAAGGAGGGGCCTCCAGGGCATTGTTAGAAGGCTCCAGCCTCAACTGTGAATGCTCCTGTGTTGAAAACTGGCTTGGGTGAGGATGGAGAGAGCCCGTTCTTGTGGATTGCAGAAAGGAAGAAGGAAAACCAAACACCTATTCATCTAGCTCCAAAGAAGACACAAAGGGCTGCCTTGGTAAAAATGGACAGTAAGAGGGATTAGGATAGAGATAAATCTGTACATGAGGGCTGATCAGGCAGGGCCTCATAATCCATGGGTAGAAGTTTGGTCTTCACGCTCAGTTCAGTAACATATATACTAAAATGGGAATGATATGTAGATTAGCATAGCTCCTGTGCAAGGACGACATGCAAATTTGTTAAGTGTTCCATATGAAAAAAAAAAAAAGAATAAGGTCGGTCTTCATTCTAAAAGCAGGGTTTACAAGGCATGTGACTTCCTCTCAGTAGGTCTACTCTAGCACTAAGCTAGTACATTAGTTTTGAGTAAGTTTCTTAGCTAACAGCCCTTGTTGAAGGCGTCCTATCTCCTGCTCTTCAAATAGTAGAAAGTAGTGGTTAAGAGTGCAAGCAACAGAGCCAGATTAAGTGAATTTTAAATCCCAGCTGCCAGTCATTAGCTCTGTAAGCGTGGACTTGAACTACGCCTGGTCCTCAGCCTCCTCATCTATCAATGAGACTAATTATAATACCCACCCTCATAGAGCTTCTATGAAGATTACCTGAGTTAATACAAACAAGGTTCTTAGAATAGTGTCCGGCTCTTAGTTTTTGTTCCACAAATGTTACTTATTATTTTTTTCATCATTTGGTATGATCATGGAGATTACTGAAAAACGTAGACAGCACCTTTACCCCAGCAGCTGTATCCACCCAAGCTCCAGCTGCCAACTTACCTACTCCTGCTTCCCCTTCAAGATGCAGGGTTGGTACCATGTCTTTGAGGAAACATTTTCCCTTTTCCCCTCACTCTCTTATGTTAATTGGGCCACACACCTGTGCCTTTATCTTTCCTGGTAGTTACCTCACAGGCTTTTAAGTTGTCTGTTTCCTTGTCTCTACTCTGGACTATAAATTCCTTGAGGTCAGAGACCGTGGGTTTAGTGTGTGATTATTTCTTCTTTTTCTTGTTGTGGTTATCATTATTTTTATTCACTGTATCCCTGAGGCCTACTATAGAGCAGATGCTTAGTTGGTGAATGCAAATGTAAATAAATGAACAGAAGGCCGCAACGTAATCACGGGGGCAGCTTTTAACCTACCTAATGGAACAAATTATTTTGAAGCACACAGCAGCACGTTAGTTAGTACATAGCAAGGAGATGCTCCTAAAGTGATTCCGACTGGGTCGTTGCTGACAGCACTTGCTACCCGTTGGTCAGGATTACTGTCATGTAAAACATTCAATTTAGAAAAGATCAGAAGTCAAGCTCTTCACTAATTCCTATTGCCCTTGTCGAATTTCTTGAATTTCGGTGAAATACTCTCCCGCAAGTTTTCTCAACATCAGCACTGTGACAATTTGGATCATATAATTCTGTGTTGTAGAGAGCTGTCCTGTGTATTGTAGGACAGTTAGCAACATCCCTGCTGTCTACCTTCTGAATGACACTAGCAACCAGGCTCTCAGCTGTGACAGTCACAAATGCCTCCAGACATTCCAGGTGTCCCCTGGGGGTCAAAATCACCCCTGGTTGAAATCACAGGGGTGGTAACCTTGGCTTTGAACTACACCTGCTCCAGTTTCTGTAGCCAGGAAAATCATGATAATTTAGTGATCACCTTCACTAAATAAGTTGGTTTATAACAAGTTACAAAAACAGAGTTCTTGGCAGTTACTTAGCAAAACAGTTTGGTTTTAGCTCCCAGCTTCTGACTTTTCAAACCTAAGAATGCAGCAGATTTGAAACTTACACAGCTTTGATGATTATCCTTGATTTATTAAACTTGTTATGCGATCATTCTTTTATTAATCTGCCTGGAAGACTGTACTGATTCCACCGACTCAGACTTTTTATTTTTTGACAGAATTCTGGCAGTTGCTTTTTTAGTTTTCTGCTCAAAAGTTCACTTGCTCTGGAATTCCTATAAAATAGGAATTGTATGACTTTAGTTAATATAAAGTACATTAAGACCTAGCAAGTGGAGCGCCTGGGTGGCGCAGTCGGTTAAGCGTCCGACTTCAGCCAGGTCACGATCTCGCGGTCCCTGAGTTCGAGCCCCGCGTCGGGCTCTGGGCTGATGGCTCAGAGTCTGGAGCCTGTTTCCGATTCTGTGTCTCCCTCTCTCTCTGCCCCTCGCCCGTTCATGCTCTGTCTCTCTCTGTCCCAAAAATAAATAAACGTTGAAAAAAAAAAAAAAGACCTAGCAAGTGATAACAATTCAACATTAGCTGCTGTTATTATATTAAATTCTAGGTTACAGGTTTACTTGAAATTCTAACAACTTGTGTATTCTCTTAGAAGTATTAGAGGATGAATACACTTCAGTGGTTTTGCCATAATTGCAACTTGTGCTTCTTGTAAACACTTGGGTTGCTTTCCTTGAAGACTTCAGTTTCCTTTTGAGATTCAGGCATCACTTCAGAAGAGGTTAAAAGGAATAGCGTAAATAACAAGCTGGGAAATGTGTGTCTTGCTGAAAGTGGCTTTGCATTTTCAAAATCAAGATTGAAGAGGACCTAACTTACCGTCTCCATCCTTGACACGATACGTCTTGGCACTAAATATTCTTTTTTTTTTTTTTTTAAGTAATCTCTATGCTCAAGATGGGGCTCAAACTCACAATCCCAAGATCAAGAGTCAAGTGCCGCACTGACAGAGCCAGCCAGGAACCCCTAGATACTCTTCTTACCTCACACACAGCAATACAAGTCTCTGCCTCTATTTTCAAAGTGAAACACAAAGGCAACACCTAACTACACTTGAAGTTTAAATGCTCAGTATGGGATACAGTCTGATTGTGGATGGAAATTGCTTTGTGCTTAATAGAATGCCAAAAGAGTGGAGCTGGAGAAATCTAAATCTGTTCCGGGCCATGGAACAGCAGCCTCTCTCACCCTGGGAGTTTGGAAATGCAGAATTTCAGGCCTCTTCCCAGCTGCTGGGACCTACTGAATCAGAGCCAGCTTTTTGACAAGACTCCCAGATGATTCATAGGCACATTAAAATTTAAGAAGCACTGGTCTGGTCTGGTTCAAAAGAAACATTGAGAAAATTTAAATAAATGTACCCATATGTGCAGGTGTTAACTTCAGAAATTCTACATACATCATTTTTGGAATGGTCCAGGATCTTAACTCCCCAAGTAGTTTCTGATATACATCCCCAAGTGGAAGTTGAGAAGTACTGATCCCATCGAACCCCCAATTTCACCAATGTAAAGGCTGGAGTTCATGTGGCTACTTAGAACCAAAAACTGCTGTTAAATAGTAGCTTCCTTTATTGATATGAAGTACTTTTTTTGTTAAATCATCCTGCAAATATTCTGCATCTCCTATTTAATCTAATTCATCTGAACAGCCGACTCTCATACATTTGTAATTATTGGCCCGTCTTATTCTCACAAATTCCCCCCTGCCATCAGGACTCTTATTTCCTGGCATGGCATCAGAAGCGCCAAACACACACAGAATTTTCAAACATATAAATGACTCCAGTGCATCTGTAGCCAACAGGCTCATTTATTTTCATTTGTGTACGTTCAGGCCTCCCCTTTAAGACAGCACTGTGTAGCCGCTGAACAAATGAGCCTGTATTTTCTTGGAGCACCTCTCCACCATGTGGCCTGTGGAGGTGTTACCAGAGGGTGAAACCTGCAGCTGCCACTTTATGCTACCTGTTGTTTGAAATGGCAAGGGATTTCTGGAAGGCTGGTACTTCTGTTTGAAAAGAGCATTGCTTTAATCTCTTCGGAATGAGTGTGGTCCTATAATACGTTCTAAGCCTTCTGGCTACAGCCTTTGGTATTAAAAAATGGCCCGATGGGTTATACCTTTTAATGCTGCAAGGATGAAAACCCCAAGTTTCTAGATGGTAAAGGAAGAGCAGGGTAAGAGAGCCCTGGGATGCTCTGAGTCGGAATGTATTAAAACATTTGTAGATGAAATCAATTGCAGTGCTTTTATGCCAAAACCTAGTGGAAAGGTTTTTGAGATTAATCAGCTTCAACACCAATGCTACAATATTACTCTTAGTTTTGTTGTTTTATCCATTCACTCCACAGAGTATGAAGCATTTACTGACTTCTCAGGCACTGTGCTAGGAGATACAGTGCAGAATAAGAATCTGTGATCCCTACCTTCATCATGCGTAGTATCTAGAGGCTACAAGATGAAACTACACACATAATAATTAATATTTATACAAGCATAGCAAGTGTGCAGAAATACCTACACAAACATATTCTTTACTTTTTTTTTTTCTTTTTTTAATGTTTATTTTTGAGAGAGCACGAGTGGGAGAGGGACAGAGAGAGATAGGGAGACACAGAATCCGAACCAGGCTCCAGGCTGTCAGCACAGAGCCCGACCCGGGGCTCGAACTCACAAACTGCGAGATCATGACCTGAGCTGAAGTCAGAAGCTTAACCTCCTGAGCCACCGAGGTGCCCCAAACAGATTCTTTTCAACCCGACTTATCTCATTTCTCCTGTACATTATGATGCCAAATTTCAAAACTCAGGTATTAAAAATGGGGAAGGCATTGAGTATGTAGACAGAGGAAAGGGTAATTATAATTTTCTCTTCCTCACCTGCAGCCAACATGTCTTTTACTCAGCACCTACTCCGTGTCATACAGTGTCTAGGCCCTGAGGATATGAGCAGGAATACAACTCCACCCTGCCTTCCTAATCCTCCCAGAATTCATCTTCTCCTGCTCTCTCATACCTCTTTATGTACACTTGAGGTATGCACATGCAATGTTGGCATGTCTTTCCCTGACGGGTGATGTGCTTCTTATGAGTACAGAACTTTACGAGGTCTGTCAACACCCAATAAAATTTTAATCTCAAAATTCTTCATCTAATAAGGGTTGTCTTTCATTAAATCCTTGGACACCATTTATGCAACCTTGTTCTTGGCTTCTCCCCACACACTTTTTAAAAAAAACACTCCCGCCACCATCAGTCGGGGGTTGGTTGTTTCTGTCTCCTTTTCCTACTTTAGGATTTACAGTGATTCTGGATAAGTGTGCAAATGAGCATATTTGGGATTCCTGGCCCCTTTTGTAGAACGCAAAAGCTCTCAATCTACTTAGTAGGGGCCAAGACCTCTGTATAAGAAATTGAGTTCTAAAAGATGAACTTGACCTATCCACTTAATACCAAATTTGTGCAGCACTATTGGGAATTTCTTATTGTTTTTCTTTTGGGCAAATGAATTCTCCCCTTTATCACTCAGCTTCAGAATACATACCCATAAGATCCTCCTCTGTCTGTTGCGTTGGGCTTGTTCTCTTACTTCAGAGAACACTTTCAAGCCTGTGATCTTGGACAAAAGCTGCAGGCTGCCTCTCTGTTCTGCAAGTGTTTACCATAAATAGGATTTCTCAGCCTGCTCTTAGATGGAGCCTTCACTAACGGGGACACCGAGATGGCAGAAGGTCCATCCGGAGTGGGAAACTGAGGCTTTGGTTCCTGCTTCTACTTGTTTGCTTCAGTGTGCCGTGAGTGTGGCTCGTCCCTCAGAGAAACAGAAGGGAAGGCAGAAATTGGGTGTTGGTGGGAGGTGGACAGGAGCCTACTTGTAAGATGGAAGATTATGTGTCATTTGCATTTGCTCATTTGCATTTGCCCAACCCCAGCCTCCTCAGCCAGCGCTGTAAGAACCTGCCATGTGAAGGCGATTTAATTTACTTTACTAAAAGGATTCAGAAAGAACAGTTTGTAAACAAATATCTCTCTACTGCAGCTTAAAAGCATTATTTGTTGTGAGGGTAACCATAGGTTCCTAATTGCTGAAAGCAATGATTAGTATACACGAGAGTCCATTATACTATTCTCTTTACCATTGTATATGTTAGAAATTTGCCGTGATGCAACGTTTAAAAGGGATTAGTTGTCATCTAATCAGAGCCTTGTATGCTGTTATTTGAAGCTGCATCACTGAGGGAAGTATGAGATGTATGGCTTCTAAACCAGGCCCAATTTATTATTTATTAAAAATAAAAGAAGCCATTAGCTTCATAAACACAAAAGAAAACATGGAGGTTCATAAGATATGTCTTATTGTGAATACTTTTGACCTGCCAACTGCTGCAAAGACGATGGATCATTTGGATGTGAATGTTTAGTTTCATGTTGCCAAGTACCCAGGATGCAATAGCTATACATACACAGCAAGAATGCAATAAATACTATGGGTCTTCCTACTTCAGTTGGTTAAGAAAATCTCAACGTTAGGTTACTATGCCCTTTCTGTGACAAAAGAGGCTCCCATCCCACTTTCAGTGCCGTGAAGGCTCCTTTGCCTGGTGATTATTAGGCCTAGGCGACACTGATCGTGTTGACTCGAAACTGATTTGTACCTTTCCATTTATACTTTATAGTCAGAAATATTTCCTGCCAAGATGGAAGCCAGGTAGGGAAGCTAAAGCAACCATGGGAGACCCTCGGGGTTATCAGAGGAGTCACAGAGCAAGAGGGGCCTATATAGACAGGTGTGCAGGAGTACAAGTCTCCCGCTGCGCCACCCCACTCTCCCTCCTGGCCCCCAGCCATACTCGTGGCAAGACTTACCAAGTTCCTCCTGCCAGCCAGCCAAAGGGCCCTTTCACCCCATCCGAACATGTCATGGTCATTCGAACTCCCATCTGCACGGGCATTGACATAAAGTTTCCTGTTTTTCTTTTTCCTCTGTTTGTTTCATCACAACTCTGTGAAGGTACAAAGACAGGGACTATTTCTCCAGTGATATTTAGTGTACAATGAGAGTAAGAGTGACTCACCCAAGACAAATCTCCCATCACTTCACTCGTGGCCATGGAAAGTTCCTGGGCTTCTTTTAAATAACATGAAAGTACGCTAGATCCTTACTTACCTTTCTTCTTTCTTTCAACAAACACGTATTGAATACCTACTGTATGCCAGGCCCTGCACCAGGTGCCAGGGAGACAATGTTACAGTCCCGGCCGTCAGAGAGCTTCATCTCTAGTGCGAGACAGACATTCATCCAACACTCAGTCAGGTAAATGTAAAACCACCTCTGTGATCAGGGCAATGAAAGTGAGGCCTATGGTGCTATCACGTGGTCAGAGAGATGGATTAGGCTGGGAGTTGAAGGCAGTAGGAGTGACTCAGGCAAAGAATGGCTTGTGTGCAGGCCTGTGGGGGCCAGACCCAGGGCGAGTTCTAGAAACCCCAGAGGACGGGGTGTGGAATCAGGAGGCCGTGTACGTGGAGAGCACAGGCTGGGCTACCAGCCCTTGGTCCCCTCATACTCATTATTAAAAACACCCCTTACTCCTGGCAGATGCAGTCTAAGCTAGATTGTGTAGTGAGTGAACTGTGGCCTGGACTGGCGCCCCCCCGCTTACCTCAGCTGGGCCTCCGCCTCCGTGTCCTGGGTTCAAACTACACAACTGTTTGTAGCAGCCCTGGAGGTACAGGCAGGCAGGAGCCAGACCCTGTGGGGCCGTGGAGAATGTGTAACGAATTGTGTTTTTATTCTAAGAGCAAGGAGAAGCAAGAGAATGGATGGGTGGATTCATATTTGCAGTGACTCCTCTGGCTGTTTCAGGACTACAGCAAAACATCACCAATTTAGACAGATCCACTGTGAGTAAATTGTTCCCTCCCTTTCTTGGTGAGTCAGGCTTCCTCAGGAACCAAACTACAAAAATAGCTTTTTGGGTTAGAAAATTGGAACTCGATGCGAAGCTCCTTCCCCTGCCCGGAAAGTGTTTCACTGCCTTTTTGACTCTTGTTGGCATTGTAGTGTGATAGGAGTTACCAGGTGTGCCCTTGACTTGATCTGAGAACCTCTGTTTTGGTAAACTTTTATCGCCAACTCTATAGTTGATGGGTTTGAGGACCTACTTACTAACCTGTCCGTTCGTTAGCTTGTTTATATGTAGAATGAGATGCATTTTTCAAGATGTGTCCTAGCTCTGAAGTTCTGTGACCAGCCAAGATTTTTCTTCCCCCTTCAGGGACTTGTGCTAAAACCATAGCTATAGCTACCCGACTCATGTTGGTACATTCAGGACATGTGTCCACATCTGCTTACAGCAACCTTCTTTCAGAGAGAAGTGAGAATGCCACGGGATTTCCCAGAACGATGCTTCATTGCTGACCCCAACTGGAAGAATACTGAGAAGGCATGGGGGAGGTTCCTGAAGCTGCTCAACAATGCACAACGGGTTATAGTATGAATCGCTGTCACACTTACATCAGCTGGCACCCTTTTCTCTCCCCTAGACCCCTAGAAATAGGTTTCTTCGCTTCTCTGGGCCTTGGTTTATTCATCTGTGCAACGGGACTGAACTGATTTATTTTTGAACGCGCTGCTACAGGATTCTGTGATGGGACTGTAAACCTCTTTACAACCGTGGATGTTTCCACTAGAATTTTTAACCATTACATTTATTTATTTATTTACTGACTTACTTACGGAATAGGATGTGTATGCATATAGGTATATATTTTTATCCCACAAGAGGAAAACATACTGAATGCTTTTGACTTGTTAAACTAGGTCCCATTTCCACCAAGGACAGAAAGTTACATTTGTCCTCTCCCTTTGTCCTCTCCACTCCTCTCTGCCCTTCTCCCTCCCTTCTACCACTCTGCCTTCCTTCCTCCCTCCCTTCCTCCTTCAGGGATTACCTGTAAGTGAAACTCCACCATCAGAGCCCAGTGGCAATTGTGCCCACGAAAGCTGGGGTAGCATATTTATGGAAGTTTTTTTTCCTAAAGGTTCTTGGGCTTTCTTGTGGGTCGCTGTGACTAAGAGCCCCGCTGTTGACTAAAAGCTTTGCTCATCTCAGACAAGAACTGGCTCCCCAGTTCCTGCACTCATTGGAAAATGAAATTAAACTCTAGAGGGTGGTGTAGGTGTTTTATTTTCCTCCAAGTGCAGGAAGGCGCCAAGGCATTAGAGCGGTACAAATTTTACTCTTTGTTAGAATGGAATGGCACTTCAGAAGAAGGGGGGCATCGTTTCTGCTCCAAGTAACTTTGCTCATTTTTTTCCAGCTTGGAAACTTGGTTACTTTCTAATTATAGACTGTGTGGCTGGGCGTGTTGTAAGCTAAAACCAGTTCTATAGGGCTCTGTGCTCTGTTCTTTTCCCTTGACTATGAAGAACAGGAACAGGTGACAAGCAGATTTGGAATTGCTTGAGTCAGGCTTGGATTTTTTGTTGTTCTTTGTCCTGGGTTTTATTTAGACATTCAGCATAGATGCCTATTTTACTTCAACAGAGAAAAATAGACAAAGCTTGGCATACTCTTGATTTTATGCTTCACCTCATGAATCATTTTAATAGCTGTTCTGTAAAGAACTGAGTAGGATACCTTTGCTACTTTGCTACCAACCATCCAACCATCCATCTTTTATTTGCACTTTATGCAAAGTGTTTCCTTTAACTTGAACCCTCCACTGTAGTTTTTTGAGTTAATGTAGATTTTTGCTTTTCTTTACAGCTGAAAAATATTTGGGTGAAACTAATAAACAACTAGGGGTAAGCTACCCATGATGCTACTACCCCTGTATAACCAATGTAGTCTTTCAGGATAATTTCTTCTGGAATCTCTTGAGAGCTAGGAATGAGATTTATTAATCGGTGACAGTTCCTGGGCCTCTCCACTCCATTTCCTCACCACCTGCTGAAAAAGATTTTATTTTTGTCCTAATTCTTCCTTTCTCCAGGCCTATAATTGTCTTTCCCAGATTCTGGGCTTAAATCAGCGGATAGGGCATAACCCAGATAAAATTTTAAAAGAGAGAAAAGTACAGAGTGACTTGTGGCCCCCAGATGATAAAGAAGTGGTGAAGGACAGACAGAATAGTTCATGTTCTGCGTACTGGAAAAGCCTGGAGGAGTGGGGTGGTGAACCCTGGCTAGAAGAAGATCTGCAGAATGAGTAGGGAACCAAGGTTTGGGTCGGAGAAGGAACAGCTTCGCTATGAAGTATGAATTGAAATTGCATTCATGTTATTGGAGAGATGACGGAAGTAAAGATAGGCTGTTGTAGCAAGCCTGTGCCAAGCCTGGGTTGGGATCAGGGAGCAGTTGCTTTCATATTTTTATATTTTCCTTTGTTGCATGTTCATTTTATTTCTAATTACAAAATAATATACTAATTGTGAAGCTTTCTACTTCTGAGCTATACTATATGTATATACATACATACATATATATATACACATATATATATATACACACACATATATATGTATATATATCTATCGCATGTATATATCTATATATGTATATATATATCACATGTATATATCTATCTCCACCTAACAGAATTACAGTTGCTTTTGCCCACTCAATATATTATTAGTGTCTTCTTTTATTATTAAGTATTTAAAATAGCTGTATATACCACCTGTAGGCAATTGTTGGCCATACACGTTATTTTTAAAACTTTTTAATCACATGCCACTCATGTGAATATTGTTACAACTCAATCTTGGCATTTTTGTTTATTTCTGTAGACTCTATTCTGAGGAAGAGATTTATGGCCTGTAGGAGGATAAGTATTTGCAAGAGTTTTGAATGAAATAAGCAACTTACTATTATGGGATTTAACTTCAAATTATGTACTCCTATACTACTCTTACCATTGTTTAATAGCATGCATTTTAATAGACCTTTTTAACTTTTCCAAAGCACTTTCACATTGATTATACACCCAATTTCACCCATTAAGGCATGTGATACTTTTACTCTTATCTGAAACTATTTCAGATAGCTTTTATGTTTCAGAAGGTAGAATCAGAGCTACAATTTAAAGGGATTAAAAAAAAAAAAAAAAGAATCTTAGTTATCCCGAATATGAATCCTGCTCTGAGTATGAATCCTTCGTCTGTTTTATTTCAGTGAAAGTAAGCTCTTGGCTTCACTTTCCATTGCCCCGTTTGCTTCTGTCCCTCATTTCCAAATCTGTTATGTTGCTATTCAGAGCATGATGAAAACACACTGACCCTCATTGTCCTTCCCAAGTAAAATACGCGTCAAGCCTATTGTGAGGGTAAGAAGTTAGTAGCTCATGGGACTTGCTGATCACAAATGTCACATTCAGGGTTCTGTATTCACTGTGGGTTTGGGTAAGAGTGGGGGCTGTAACACCCAGTCATTCTCTCTTATGAAATACTGGATCTAAGTTTTCTAATTTATTATCAACAGTAATGTAACCTTTGACTCCCGTAACAATGAAGCCAGAGGCTCTGTGCTTGGAAATCTCCATTGATAACCCATCCCCTAATGATACTCTCAGCCCTTTTAAAGAGTTATAATGGATTCTCTCTGCCAAGAGTCATATACTCAAATGCCTCCATGGGCCAGGCAGGTTATGTAAGAGAGAATGCAGGGCAGCTGTTAGAAAAACAACGATCAATGGCAGCTCAGTGGGGGCCTCTGTGTCAGAGATGCAGGAGATTGTGGGAGGACAAGAGCTAATTGGGGAGCATTTGTTCTGTCTGAAAGAGAAGGTGCTCCAGCCAGTGGCTGACATGTGGAAAAGTGGGCCTACTGTTGTTAGATTTTCTTGTTTATAGGAGAAGTTAGAAATCCCAAGTTTTATGGACTTTCTAAACACAGCGCGATTCAAATACAAGTTCTGTAAACACCATCCAATGCAAGCACATATGTGACAGTAGGCTGGATCTGGCCCACGGAGGCCGTCACGTGACTTGCATCTGTCGTGGCAACTCCTGTGAGGATTTGAATAAGCCTGCAGAGCTCAGAAAATATGTGAGCACTGTACTGGATGTGCACCAGAGCCCAGGAGATAATGAAAGTGAAACAGCCCCTTCAAAAGAGGCGGTCTCTTTTAAATTTTAAGAGGCCTTTTAGCTCTTCGCTACCATTACTATAAGAATGAGGACCACTCTCGGCCATAGGACTGTTGACGTTTCAGAAAATGTCAACATCACGCTGCAGGGACATACAGCGTGTCCTCAGACTTGTCTGTGATATTTTACAGATGCAATAAAAGCCATGTATGGATTTGGGGCCGGCGGGGGCGGGGGGAGGGGGAGTCTTTGAAAATTGTGGACCTCTAATGAGACGGACTGACCGCTTTGGTGGGAGTCAAACTACCCAAGTGTGAATCTTGGCTCCACCGTTTTCTCACCTCTGTGCCTCACTTTCTTCATTTGAGAAATAAATTAATAGCATCTGCCTCATCGGGTTATGAGGATTAAATGAGCCAGTTTAGATAGAATGCCGAGTAAGTACTCAACACCTGATTTGCTCTTCCTTACCTTTCTGATCTTCCCTTCCTGCTCCCACTACTGCTGACCCAGGCTCCCTCGTTTTTTTCGCATTCCAGGTTCCTGAGCCCCTTCAACATGATCCTTGGAGGCATTGTAGTGGTGCTGGTGTTCACGGGGTTTGTGTGGGCAGCACACAACAAAGACATCCTCCGCCGGATGAAGAAGCAGTACCCCACAGCATTTGTCATGGTGGTCATGTTGGCCAGCTACTTCCTCATATCCATGTTCGGGGGAGTCATGGTCTTTGTGTTTGGCATCACTTTTCCTTTGTTGCGTAAGTGAACCTCAGTCTTCTTGTGCCTTAAACAAAAAAAATGTAGGAGCAATTGTTCACTGGGAATATCCTACCCTGTTTCTTCCATATGTTGACATGTCTGCAAAATTATCACAAGTTTCTGAAACAGCAGATTAAGGCTAATGGTGCAGTAAGTCCATAGATTTAGGTCTACTGGGTGCCTGCTCTGTGCCAGACACTCTTCTGGGGCTACAACAATAAACAAAAGAAGTACAAATCCCAAGTCGCACAGCAAGAAAGTTGTACAGCCTGCACTGGCCTCCAGATTGGTCTGATATTCAAGTCCGTTCTCAATCTTTAAGTGCCATTCATACTGATGCATTCATACTGATGCAAGAATGAATGTATTTCATTGGGAAGTAAACTAGTTACTCTCTAGTTACTCAGCATATCGTGTTTAGTGTCCAACTTTCCTAAGTCTGTAAGAACAATTGGCCCAGAATATAGTTACCAAGTACTCCAGTTCTGGTGAAGAGAACTAGATATTTTCTAAATTTTACATGCATTATTTGCTGAGATCCCAAACACTTGAAACCTGAAATAGAGAACAGATATAGTTCCAGTCTCATCAGCAGAAATCTACTTAAAATTCGATTATATTAAGTGACAGGAACAGTCTTTTAACTTATTAATAGCATTTCACATGTGTATTTTTTCCATTAAATAAAATCAGTTGCTTGTTTGGGGATATGTGAGATTAAGCCCAGAATATTTATAGATGGATCCCACACCTTGTTGGACAACATATTTCAATCAGCAAAGTTAAGACTTTTAAATATTTTCCTCACATTTACCCTATATACTAGAGGCTCAGTATTTCAAAGATTCTGCTTTGACACACAGCTTGTTAACTTCAGTGCCTTTCTACATCAGGGCCTGAGACAGGCCAGTGTAATGAAATGTATCATAGGTAGAGATCAAGGGTCCAGATTTTTCTTCCTAGACATGCTGGAAACTAGCCGTGTGCTTTGGACCAGGTATCCTATATGGGCTGTCGTTCACTCATCTATAAAATAAGGAAGTTAGACAAGATTAGTGACTCCCAGACCTTGATGATTTTGAGAATCATGTAGGACACTTGTAGAAAGCACAAATTTCCCAGCCATATCCCTTAGAGATCTTGAGTCTGTGAGTTGACAGTGCTCCTCCCCAAAACCTGTATTTTTAGGAAGCTCCTCAAATGTTTCCAATGGCCAGTCTAGATTGGGAGCCTCCAGATAAAATGCACACCAGTGTTTCTTAAAATGATGGTCCAAGATCACCTATATGAGATTCATCCAGAGTGAATATTAGCATTTTACATTGTAGAAACCTACCTCAGTCTTACTGGTCTGAATTTTGGGTGGTGGAGACCTAGGATTTGCCTATGTAACAGCTCTGCAGGCAATTTATATATACACCGCAGTATTTATATATATATATATATATATATATATATATATATATATACACCGCCTATTTAAAATACAGATCCCAGGCCCATCCCTCTAAGGTTCTGGTTCAGGAGGTCCAGGAGAGGGGCCAGGGAATAGTTCTCAATAAACAACATAATTCTAAATGATCAAGCAAATTCAGGAAACTTTAGGGTACCTGACATGTGTAAAACCTTTAGTTTTTATCTATACATCTATATCCATCACTTTGGAAAAATGCCTCAAGAGGTGCCTCCAAGGAGGACTTCACCTGATCATCCCTGATAATCCCTGAATTGAGCATGAATTCCTTTCTGGAAAACTTTGTGTAAGGTTTTTATGTAAGTTGGAATCACACTGATTCACTTTGAATTTCAAGCCATTTAAGTGGCAGCTAAAAAGGTAACAATATCAACGTGAAAAAGAGAAAGTGTGTTTGGCAGATGACAGTCCTGCCTGCTGTGTTTTCCTTCACACACAAAGGACACTTAATATATGACTTAAACAGCTTTATATCAAGTCCAAGGATCCATGTGAGGACTTGGGTAAATTAGAGAACCAGACTGGACTACAGCTAATCGTGGCAGTTGACCCAAAGTGTGAAGATGGGGAGCCTAAGGCTGCAATGGGCAAAGAGCCGTTGCTTCCGTGCTAACCACGTTTCTCTTTTCCGTAGTGATGTTCATCCACGCGTCATTGAGACTTCGGAACCTCAAGAACAAACTGGAGAATAAAATGGAGGGAATAGGCCTGAAGAGGACACCAATGGGCATTGTCCTAGATGCCCTAGAACAGCAGGAAGAAAATGTCTCCAAATTCGCTGACTATATCAGCAAAGTGAAGGAATAAATATAAGGGCTGCCACAGACATCCAGGTGTGGTTTGTCCTCATGCAGACCTAGTTTCCATTTGTGTTCTTGAAATAGGAGGTGCCTGTACCACCCATCTCTGGCAGCATGCATGTATAGGCCAAGCTGTTAACATCTCTGATGTGACAGAGGGAAGCCCTCAGAAACCGAAAGAAACTACCCTCCTATTATGCCTGAAGTTTCAAGTGTGTTTATGCAACTGATAGGAAATGGATCACACTTACTTCTTTAGAGAAATAAAAACAATTATGGATTGTACAGCAACAGTACTGTTAACTTGTAGGAAAAAAATAATTGTAAAGTATCAAGGCAATATGAGTAAATGAAAAAAGACTGTTAAAATAGATGTCATGTGTTAGCCTGTTTTAAGCACCACCCTCCCCCCCAACCCCCCCCCCCCCCGCCCCCACCCACATCATTCTCCTCCAAAAATATTCCCTGGGACTGTAATATGTGGAGTCTAATTTAGTTTAGCTTTTATTATTCTTCTTTTAAAATCAAAGATGATCTGTATCACTTTACCACCCGTTTGACGTGCAGTGAAAACTGGATAAACCAGTTGTTTTTATTTTGTTTACAAATAGAAAGATTGCTGTTTAGGAGATATTTTGTCAAGTTTTTACAAATTTTTAAAATGCTAGTAATGCCTTTTCGCTAGCAGGTATTTGTTGCAAATTAAATGTCATCTTCTTTAAGGAGGTTAGAGCTACGGAACCTGTATTATTCTTGACAGTCTTGTTAAAAAAAGCAACAAAAAAATAAAACTTGAGTTCTGTTTATATTGCATATTTCTTGCTGTTATGGCAAAAAGGTGTCCAAGATAATGTTTCTTGTATTTTTTTCACTATTTAGCTTTTAACTGGAGCATTGAGAAGGAAGGAAATCAATGTGCATTTTATTAATTCCTTAGGGGCACAAAGAGAACAATAATGGCTAATCTTTTGAAATCTGAAAAGCATCTTTAGATGACCAAGCAAACAGACATGAACGTGGGAGTGATCAGCGGCTTCTGCAAATCATGAAAATTTTAGATAGCAATTGTTACGACCACATGTTTTTACAGATAGGCATTAGAATTACTACAGCATGAGTTTATATATCCTTTTCCTTTCTTCCTTTTATTTCTCATGTATTTAGAAATAGGTTATACAAAGATGTTTTGCTTGCCGACTGGGTGATTTCATAGATGAGTGGAAAACACTTGGGTTTCCCAAACACTGAATTATGAAGACAACTGGAGTGGTACTTACCGGAGAGACTCTCTGTACATCCTAAAATAAGAAGCAACTGCATATGCCACTCCCATCTTTCTTGCGTTTTTATTCCTCAGCCAACCTGCAGCCATCATCTCTAGCACAGCGTTACCACCGTGACTTCACAGCCACGGTCTAGAGTTTGTACCCTTACCCAAATACGGAGAATAAAATCTATCAAAGATTTTCTGTGTGTGAGAGACGTTGTTTATTAATGCACATCTGTGCTAAATATCTGGGAGACTCGGTGACAACCCTTTAAACAACGAGGATGTGCTATACTGCACGACCCGCTCTGCTCGTGTTTCAAATACACTAGGTCCCCCCACCACACGTCAGTTACCTGCTGTCAGCCTCAGTCCAGAAGCAGATGATCCTCCTTGTGACACATCGTCAGGAGGTCCACGGTAGCTAAACACTACACATCAGAGCGCCTACAACATTCCCTCACTTCATCTCATCGCGTAGAATATTTCTCATCCCACGTCATCACAGAGGAGGGGTGAGTATGTACAATAAGGTAATTTTGATAGACTGCATTCACCTAACTTTTATTACAGCATCATTGTTCTAGTTTATGATTTTTGTAGTTAATCTCTGTGCCTGGTTTAGAAGCTAAACATTCTCCTACTATGTACAGGAGAAAAACAGTATATATAGGGGGTTCTGTACTATCTGTGGTTTCAGGCATCCAAGGGGGGTCTTAGGACATATCCCCACTGGATTAGGTGGGGACTATGGTACTGTTTAACAAAACTTCAACATTTTATTAATTTCCAGCCGAGTAACATTGAATTCCAATGGGTTCCTGTTCTAAACCTGACACACTTTAGCCCCTTCCACTTTCTACATGAATTCTGTAGAAAGAATGCAATCTATTTGGAAAAAGTGACAACTTAAATAAAAACTATACTGATTACAATTACTAATGGTTGGTCGTCAATTCTAGAATAATAACGATAT